CGGCTGTGGCAGCAACGCGCCAGTTACCAGCTATTTATTTATTTATTTATTTATTTATGTATTTATTTATTTATTTATTTATTTATTTATTTATTTATTTACTTATTTATTTATTTATTTATTTATTATTTACCTGCGTCAGTACCGGCGCATGGCGCTCAGCCGCCGCCTCTGCTGCCACCTCGCGGCTGCTCTTGTGCACCAGCCGCAAGTCAGCGCCCCCAATGGCACGCGCCCCGTGTCGTGTACCCCGCGTGCCGATGGCGACATCTGTCTGCGGTTGTATGAACCCGACAGCCATTGCAACATGGTTGTGTAGCTGCGATGCGACGCTGCATATGGTGTGCGAATTCGAATACGACAGTCCGGTTGTAGTGAACTGGGATATAGCGAACCTTCGGTTTTAGTGAACCAAAACTGGTCCCATTTAACTTAAATTACCAATAAGCATAAGAAATTCTGTTACAGTGAATCTGAATCTCCGTTATAATGAATCTCGGGTATAGAAAAAACAACCAGCTGGACATTAATTCCTTCGTGGAAAAGATATCGCCTCAGTCACAAATTCCAACACTACGCAGCTTGAAAATATATCTGGGAAGGTCATAACCGAGGAAATCTCCCTTGAGGTGAACGTAGCGGGCCCGGAATGAGGACCTTCCTGATGCCACTCAGTTTCAACTTTTTTTAACAGTTTATTCCGCGTGATATTCCGTGGGTCAAAGCGCGTAGCATTCTAGGTAGGCGACAGGAAGCGCGCGACTGCCACAGCCCCACAACCTCCCGATACTCGCCGTGCCGCGATCAGTTTCATTAGCAGCTTGCGCCCTCTCGCTACCCAAAGGGTTCCGTACGTTATTAGGCGAGTAAAAGAGACCTCGAAGAGGGGGCGGTCAACAGTGCACGACGCATTAAAGGGTTCCAAGATTGCTTTACGATACTTTGAGACAGTGGACAATGCAGGATCAAGTATGGCAGGGGCACGAACTCCGTAGAAAGATCTAGAGAATTAAGTAATGAAAAATGAACGAAGCAAGCAAGTGAAAACCATTGACTTCTTAAAAGAAAAATAAGATATTGAAAAGTTTAGTTCGTACCGTTAATACAGTCATATTTTCAGTACATCTACATCTATACTAAAATATAAAGGCAGATGTGCGTTGACTTTCAGCGCGATAATCTGTCTAATGTCTGTATCTAGTGAAGCAATACCGATAGAACTTTTGTGCTAGCTTTCGTTAAAGGTCTAGAGTACTATAGGTTATGTGGTATAACTATAAATCTTAATATATTTACAAAATAATTAGTTTTCTGGACATTTTTCGCCAAGTTTTACATCACAGACTCAAGAGTGCATCAATGTGAATAGTTTAGTTGCGTGCCACCATCGGATAACGTCTGAGATCTTCTACTAATTTCATTAGTGCACAGAATTGCGTATTTAGAGGACTATTGGCTTATTTCCGTCAGTAGTCTAATCCAAAATAATCCATAAGTTTCTCTCCGCTTTATTTATAAGGAGTTTATATGAAGTTTTGCAAGTCGTACAATCGAAAGCATACGTTAAAACTAGTAACTAACTGGAAGTGCATATACCTCTAGCAGAATCTAAAAGCTTTTATTGAACATCTATGTATCTCTGAGTCTTTATTGCTTTTAGAAGCATTACAAGATAGTAAAATGTATAATAAATGAAATCTGATTGAATCCTACGAATAATACATAGCTTTAACTCCAAAGATAACTATAGCTTCCTAGATAGTCTTAGAATGTAACCCTGCAATTTTACTAATACATATTTTATTGTTTATATTAGGAATGTGAAATGTTTGACAATTTCAGCTTCATATACATAACCTCAAATCCTGACCAATTACGTTAGTTTATTCCTGACATATTTGAATTAACTTGAGAAATATTAACCATTAAGTTCTTGCCAAGTTAAATTGGTACTATGGTTATTGCATTCGTTACTTCTTCCATGCTCATTGTGCGTTTGTGTTGACATCGTGTTTAGTGTTGTCCACGAAAACTACGTAAAGTGTCGTAGACGAGAAAATTTAGACGAGAAAGAATGACGAGACCCATCAATCGATATTTGATGCCTGCGCATGTGCAGCAAAATAATGCAATTGATGTTGAAAAGAAATTTTCAATAATGATTTATTCAGTATTATCTAGAAATTTCTTGGAGCAATTCACAACACTTCCTTAAAAGAATTTGAAGAAATTATTCAGTTAGCTTTTCATTTTTCTTGATAGTCAAAAAAATATTAAAAAAGCTTTTTACTTTTGAAAAAGGCACGTGACTGAACACGCTGTTTTGAAAGCAGGGTCAGTGCGTGGAGATTTTCCTCTCTTCATTAATTTTATTCTTTTCCGTAAAGTATTTTCATCAATAAGAAAAAGACCTATGCCTAACAGCATATGTATTCGGATAGTTAAGATTTCCGGTTGAAAACCAAGCTAAATTACGCATTAAAAGCTTTTGCTTTTTCTCTGCCGTCTGTTATTGACGAACAACTGGAATCTCGTCTTTACTTCCCTTCCTTCTACGAAAGTATCTATGAAAATAGCGACCAATTATTACTGCCGTTGCATTAAGAATATGTTTCGAACGTTCCTCTGCCATTTTCCTTTTCTTCGTTAACTCTTTTGCATAATTTTGAAGTATTATATGGTTTTCACTACGGTGTCTGTTGCTAAATGCTTCTCTAAATGTTTTTCATTTCAATCGTCTAATCTTCGCATTATGATGTTACGGGTCACAATTTGTTTTTAACAATTTACTCGGTACAAATGCCTGCTGGGCATTTATTAGAATATTTTTAAACACTTCCCGTATTTCTTTCATTTCTCTTCTTGTTCTAAGAAATTCGCCATATCGTTATCTTAAGTAATTTTGAAACTCATATACATTCGGTTTCTTGTATTTCCTCACTGCAATACCGGTGGCAATATTTTTCCTGAAATAAATAAATTACTAAAATAATTAATTACTAAATAAATTACTAAATTAAAACATAAATATTCATATTTCCGTAAAAGAACATACATTCCTTTTCTTGCTACTATTGCCCTGCCCTGCTATACGTAAACTCAGTAAATACGTAAACCAAATCTTCATTGTAAATATTATTGAATTGCCGGCTAACATTTAATAATATTTAAATACTCATATATCCTGACCCATGGGTATTGACATACGACTGTTTCATACGTTATCGTATGTATATAACTCAGTTATTGCTTGGAAACGAATATGCACGCGGAATAGAGTTCACAATCAATCTTATATCTTTAATGCATACCTATTGGTTGTCTTATGAAATCTGTAATGTGAATTTTTATGTTTTCATAATTACTTAATTACAAGATTTTTACTATTTTCCAGAGTTCTGATTGATTGTTGAGTATTAATATTATAAAGATATAATTAAGACTTTTCGTAGAATTAAAGTACTTATAATAGCAATGAACGAAACGAGTGAGTAAAGAGAAGTATAATTGCATGAGTGAACACCCCTGTATGTTCAAGTAAACGAGTGACGATAGAAGAGAGAAGGAAAGAGAGGGGGAAAAGATGAGGGCGTGGAAGAAGGAGAGGAGGGTGGAGAGGGAGGACAGAGGAGAGGTGGAGAGTGAGAGTCGGAGAAAGAGAACAGAGTCAGGAGGGAGACAGTGTGATAGAGACAGAGTGATACAGTCAGAGACAGAGAGAGTCAAAGACAGACAGAGAGGTGGAGAGGGGAAGAGGGGCAGAGGGGCAGAGGGGCAGAGGGAAGAGAGAATGAAAGAATACGATATAGTGAGATAGAGAGAATACGATATAGTGAGGTATCGGAAGATAGAGAGATAGAGTGACAGGAAGAGAGAGTGTGAGAGGGAGATAGTGAGAGGGAGAGAGTGTGAGAGAGAATGAGAAAGTGAGAGAGAATGGAAGGGCGAGGAAGAGAAATAGGGAGGTAGAGAGAAAGAGACAAAGTCGTAGCAAAATAGAGAGAAATAGAGACAGAGTGAAGGAGATAGAACGTGTGAGAGATGGAGATTGAGTGAAAATGTGAAAGAGTATGTGTGTGTGTGTGTGTGTGGGGAGAGAGAGAGAGAGAGAGAGAGAGAGAGAGAGAGAGAGAGAGAGAGAGAGAGACGGGTCGTAGATTGTGTTCTAGGGAGAGAGTAAAGTGCCGATCTGGGGGGGGGGGAAGGTGGTAGTTGGCAAACTGTGAGAAGAAAGTATTTCTCTAGTTGAATAAGGATTTGCGATACATATGGGACATCTACTGGAACAACTAGGCTAGTACTTGATACATTTCTTGGCTTCATTGAAAATTGGCAATGTTCGTATGGTTGTCTAAATAGTGGCTTGTGCAAGTAAACCGTGTTATGTGTGCTCTAGTCTCATCACAAAATGTGTGACCAATTAATTTCGTAGAAACAGACAAATGCGGAAGTTGTAAGTGGCAGGTGCATTTATGTTTCGAGTTTCATAATCACTACATTACATAGACAATTGGGCTGAAAGAGTAGAAATTGGTTTTATTATTTTTGTTCTTTTTTACAACTTGGAACATTAAAGAAAATAATAACTTATATTTTCTAAACATCACAGTAGAGAGTGAGAGAGAATACCCTTACCAGAGGAAAAATTTTTAATAATCATTTACTTACAAAATATACAATAAAACAGGAAACATTTGATATTCTATTAAGGAATATTAAAATTCTAATAGTTGGCGAACATAATTGTAAATACCTTTTTTAATTTCTACTGGCATAAAAACCTGTAATGGTATACAATTTTGTATCAGTAATTCTTATTTTATTTGTAATTGAATTACATTTCAATTAAAATGCTAGCAGTGACTTAAGAAATGTAATGATAATGTTCAAAATTACTAATAGTGTAATGTGGGTGAACCCTCATCTCCACTTTTCAACACAATTTAATATTAAGTTAAATAATTTTTATAATATTTGCAGGAAATAGTTATTGTATAACTATTCCTCCTCTTTGCTGATGCAAATCATTCAGTATTTGCTCAAGCCATTCCATGGAAATACACAACAGATTTTCCATTCCATAAAGATTCTTGTTTTCTGCTACTCCGATACTCTTCAACCTGCAATCATTTTCGAAATTAAAAAGTTGTCAATTTTCAAGCAGTCAATAGAATAGAATTAATACATTTGCCTCTGTGAGAAGCAGGCGTCACCATACCGAACCTTCAATCGTCGAAGAATGTCAATAGGTTTCACACCTTCACTTCGCAAAAACCAAACCCCAAAACGCTTTTCCTCTCTGGTGGAACAGCCATTTTCACACTATTCCTGCGCCAGAGTTTGTGTTTCTTCACAATGATGCCACCTAGGAGACATCTGGCACACTATTGCAAACATCTCAACTTACAGGCCCCTAGCGCCATATTTGAATTTTTACGGTTTTACGGTTTCTTTTACGGTTTTCACTTGACTCACCGTCGTATATTACATTATATTATGTTATATTATATTATATTATATTATATTATATTATATTATATTATATTATATTATATTATATTATATAATTATGTAAACAACGTTTACATAAAGAATCTTAAAAGGAGTGTAGGCAATATATAACCAATTTCACCAATGCTCATTAGCACACTACCGAGGTATTAGGCTCTGTTCAACTGTCCGCAATATAAACAGTTACGTTTCACCGTTTGAACTCTCGTTGAACTTCCATTAAAATTCAATGGCGATCTCAGCGCCGTTAGGAATAATTAACGCCTAGTTAGGCAGTTGTGGTAGAATTCCAAAATAGAGAGAGCACTGTAACTTCGTGGATTTAAATAGAAATAAATAGAAAAAACCTCCGCGTGTTATGGCAGATGCGGATCTTTGGTGTACAGAAAGTCGATGTGCCAATGGCGGTGTGAGAGGGAGCTCACGTCGCCCTCACCCGAGCAGCCGGAGGAGAGCGCGGGTGCCGGCGAAGCGGGGGCCCAGTGCGCGCACGCGTCGCCCGGCGCCGACAGAGTGCGCCTGCGCACCCGCCGCACTTCCCCTGCAACAGCGGCGCGCCAGCGGGCTCGGATCGCAACGAGGCATTCTCACCAAGACCGCAGGCGAACTACTTGACGCAAAATTACGCGCAAAGTACTCAAATTTTCGAAAAACTATACATGACTTTGTTTCAAAATCTGTCTTTAAGGAACACATTTCATTCAGGGAAATAATATCTATCTTTAATATTTTAGTTGTAAAAACATTTCGAAAAAAATTGAAAAAGTTTGCAATTTTGGAAATATCAGGGCGTTTAACGAAAATTAGACCTGCACCATTCTCTTAAACATCCTTGACACTATCAAACAACAAAATTTATTAAAAAACGATGCAACCATTTTTTTGGAAATTTGAAAAATGTTCCAGGGTTTTCGTCCCCTGTAAATTATAATATCGATTTCAAATTGAAGGGGCCGCATCATAAGTCAGATCGAAAGAGGAATATTAATTTCAGAGAAAATCGGTTGAACGGTTTAGCCGCTAGCGTTGTTCACAGACTGATAGACGTTGCCGTCATTCGATTTTTCGGTATCAAGTACCCTCAAAACAGCTGTCTACATCACGTGTTAAAAATACCCCCCTAAATGTAACAACTGGATCTCTCAACTTTTTCGTTACCAGGGTCCCGTTTTCTGCCGGAAAACGCCGTTTTTCTGAGCATTATTACATAACTTACTCTCTACTCCTTAAATGAGAATTTCAGAAAAATCTCTCAAAAAAATAACTTTTCACGCGTAATAAATTTGTATAGCTGACGTACTGATTGACGCTTGGTATCAGGTTTATATATCGTGGACAAATATTTACATTCTTTTTAAGGAAATTATGTTGCCATAATTTTAAGGTTTTATATAATTTGTTGTAAAAAATTCAAATTATTAACAATTTTTGGTATATATTTTGTGAAGAGATTCTGCGTTTTGCCAATTAATGAAATTATAATGAAGTTATGGGAAAATTGAATAGCACTCTCTTGTGGTAAACAATATTTTATCACAGTTTTCTAGAAAAGTAACCAACCTACTCCCGTAAAAAAATACAAACTAGACATGACAGACCTTTATTAACTAAGAAGGTGAACTATCTGCGTAAAAGTGGATAAATCGTGTTTCTGTATGTATTAACTTTCTTCGTCAAACACGTTGTGCAGTAAGTATTCCCGTTTGATAGCGAAAAACTGACTGACTGCGAAACTACATTTTTCTTCAAAACCGGTATTCTTCCTATTTGAACAAACTCATCGCTCTGTGAGTTTTCTTAGAACGGTTATTTTTGATTTTGGGGGAAACTGCATAAAGCCTAACATTTTGAAACTTTCCTCAAAAATAGCTCCAACGTTTTTGAATAAACTACGTCCTCGGGTAGCATAAAGAAGGATTAAAAAAGCCCAGGTCGCATCTTCGCTGACATCTCTAAACTTTGAAAAGAAATGTAAAAGTTAAAAAAATTGTAATATATTTTTTCAGTGTATTTCTGCAACTGCAATATTGAAGACGGAGTTTTATTTCTTAATATAATCTTTTGGTTAAAAACGTCAATTGAAATATGACTGTGTAATATTTCTGAATATGTGAATTGGTTTAGCGCAATTCTGCCTGATATATAGCAGTTTTAAAATCATTATTTTCTAAAAAACGGTTTAAAAACGTTTCTTTAAATTTTTTCCTGGTATGTTGCAAAACACGGTAAAAAATGGGCAATTTCGACCAAATTATTTTTATTTTCGAAAAAACGAAGTTAAAGAACAATTTATAGAATAGAACTCTTTCTGAAATAACATCTGTTATAAAAAAGCTATATATTTGGAAAATAACATTACAATCGTTGGAAAAAGGGGGAGTTTTCGCGTTATTTCTCTTTGAAATTAATGCAATCTATAAAGAGTTCTAAAAAAAGCTCTGTTTTATTTTTTATGGGCAGCGTAAAGGACGTCAAAAATTTGCGCAGGTATAATTTTGGTTCAATTCTCTGAACTTTCGAAAATTGCTAAAGTTAGACACAATGTGAGAAGTTATATACTGTTCTAACACTACTAGTTCTCTTTAACCCAACCAAGCAACTTAATCGAGATATTTTACTGATTTTCAAAGAATTGGCTGCGACTGCCGCTGCTCTGCTCTTCAATTTAATTTCAAATATGAAGTCCTTCTGATGTCGCATACCAAAACCCCCGCGAGGTTGGGGGGTCAATTGCAAATCCAGAGTGAATTTAAAAGAAACTGAAGGAACATTGTATTTAAGAACTAATGCATCATTACTTACCCACATTAATGGTCGCCCAGTGGTCGTAATATATTATTTTTTTATGATTAATTTACTTTTCTTTTGGCAATGATTATACTTATTAAATTGTTGCATATATTTTTTTAATTCCGTTATGTTTCGTCATCTGCGTCAAATTTGAAAAGCTGCCTGTAAAAGGCGGGCTTCTCGGTCCTCCCGCATGGCTGAGAAACACGAAGGAAACTGGCCTCTTGCCCTCAACCGCCAAATGCGCAAAGCCTTTGGAATGTCAAATATACTGTCTCCAGTACCCTTTGTTATGTAATGTTAATTCGATCAATCATCCGAACAATTGATGGACGGCAAAACTACTGTTTGTGCGTCTGTCAGTCGATCCGTGTGGGTCGGCGATCAAATCTAGCGTCAAAACAATAGGCAGATATTCTCCAAAATTGATATTCTACGATTAATTTAAAATAACTCTAGGTCACCTCTTTTTTACACGAATAAATTCATTTTGGTGGTTGCTATACACAAAACCTCAGCGACATTTTCAAAGAGTTTTCAAAAATGGCTCCAAAGTTTTTGATTAAATTTTGTCTTCGGATGGCATAAAGGATGCCTTAAAGAATGGCGCTGGTTTCATTTTCGTTAAACCCCATGAATTTCTGAAAACGTCAAAAGTTCAATTTTTTGGGCGTCTTACTACAATATTGAAGATACATTTTTCTTAAAGAAAATATGTTGTTAAAGAATATATCTTGAAATAAAGTCAGGTACATAATTTCGAAAATACGAATAGTTTTCGTGTAATTTTGGGTGAAATACAGACAATTTGTTCTCAAAAATAGCTCTAATTTTTTATTTAAATTCTCTTCGTATGTGCCTCAGAACGGTACAAAACGTAAGGACAGACCAAATGTCTATCACTATTACATTCAAATTACTAGGATAATTTGTAGAATAGTGATGTGACTAAAAATATCCTAATACTTACCAATATAATCCGAAATTGTAGAGTTTAAAAACTCATTTTAATAAATGTATAAAAAGAAATTGATATAATTTGCAAGGTGATATTATAGACCCTCGTTTCGTCGGAAGGAAAAGGAAGTGGGAACAACGAAGTACCCTTTCTTGAACAAAAGAACTATTTTCAATACATTTTCCGGGAAAAGCGTCGATATGTGGTAATTGCGATGCGTTAATCGCTAAATCATCGATATGGCCTAAAACAAGGCAAAATCACCGAAACAATAGGCTTACTTTCTATTTCCTGTTTCTCGACGTTATTTTTCATTTTGGACCAGAATGACCGCGCCAGCTTTCCTCCATACCTGTGAAAGAAAAAGGGCCTTTTACATTTATTTACCTTAACTTATTAAAATAAACCAAAAATTATACCTATTGATTATTGGTGAATTGCTTTTTTGCACGAGTTTTAAATTTAGAAACTGTAATAAAATAATATAACGTCTTTAGTAATGTAATGGTTGGTTTCTTTTTTTGGAAAGGACGATAATAGAAGGAGAATGATTTTGTTCTCGTTTCAAGATTATTTATCTCTCAAACAGGTGAGTCATTTCAGACAAAAATTGTATTACTGGCATGTTCTAAATATTACTTGTAATAATTTTATTACTCTCATTCGCACGTTCTATATAGACTCCATTTTACATAATTTCAGAACTTATTTAATCTCATTACTATGGAATTGAATTAACTATGGAAACAATTTTTTTGTTTCAAATATCAAACAAATTAGAAATAAATAAAGGTTTATTCAGTGATAGAGAATAATGTGATATACCCACTCATACCCTCATATTAATATATCCTTATTTATTATATATCCCATATTATAATATATCTTATCTGATTAATTACATACGAATTTCGCTAGCTCGATTTTGATATGCTGGGCGTTACGATACAAATCTGAAGGCAGCTACACACCGTCGTTGTGGGCTGAATATTTTACCGCTCATACGAGGATAGTGAGAACATTTATTTGTAATGGGAATTAAATGATCTTTTTTATCATAATAAGAACTTTTCTATAAATAACAACACGTCGTTTATTACTCAATATTACAACGGCAAGAGGTACCGGCTGCAATTTTATTCTTCAATTACTGACATTTTCTTTAGTTTGTGGATCAATATAACATAAATCTACTATTATAGTTTTAAATTCCTTCTACCTAACATGGCCATCTTAACTTCATTGTTACTCCTGACAGCGTTGGCCTCGAACAGCAAGTATTTTTTTTTGTATTTGTAAAGATTCTTAGGTTTTTCATTTCCCCTTTTGTAGACAAACTGCCCTCTTGGCAATGAGATGAGAATTCCGTTCCTGATTGTGCATTTATATTTCCAAAACAATGGTTTGTGGTCGTCCGTGAACCATCTCTTTAGATGTTCCACACTTTGATTTATCACCACTTTTTTTTGAACCGCGCTTTACTTGACTTCATTAACCCGTAAGCATTATTAAAGCACCTCGCGAGGTATTATTCGCGTATTCTCAAACTACGTTCTGTCATTTAGACACTCATTGAAAAGTTTTGTTGCTCGCGGCCTAGAATCCGACTCACATTGCGACATGACACCTCTCTTCTAAGGCACACACATTCTATCTCTCCGATCGTCACCGAGTCAGCATACCTTCTGACGTTTTACATCTTGCAAAAACTCATCTTCCACCACTTCCCTTATTTTTCATTTTTATTATACCTCATCCGATGCTGTTTAATCTGCTTCTCTGATGTACCTCTGAGTTCACTTGTCTGCCTAACAATATCTTTCAAATAAAATATTTTCATAATATTTAAAATATATTATCCCCATGTATTTTATTCACATTTTTCGTTATGTCAATTCCCGAATGTCTCACTTTTGTCCCCGTATTTCCATGAATTTGCCTATCCTCGTAGTGATACTATGTCGACATATTTTAAATATATTTTTCAAAATAGCCCAATAGGTATTTTGACTCCTCTCAATAATGTTTTTGGAACAATTCACAGTACCTCTTTAAAACATTTGAAGAAATTATACAATCTTTATTGACAGTTTTCACTTTTCTTCATAGTAACAAAAATATTAGAAAATCTTTTTACCCTTGAGAAAGCCACGTAATTTTGTCCATGCAAAAATATAGGACCACGTTATTACAATCCTACTTTTGTCTTGTTTAAAAATAAAATTGCAATGCAATAAAATATCAATAAGCGCTGAAAAGCGTGAAAGAGAAAGTGAGCAAAAATGTAATAAAAGAAGATCTCATTCCGCAGATTATGGTTAAGTTAACGTTTTTTAGAGCTTTTTGCTTCAATATTCCAGGTTTTAAATACTTACGCTTCGTTTTGGGATTATATAACCATACAAGTTTCAACAAAGCAGCCCGAGTGTTTAGGGTTGCATTTGACATGAATATTTATATGCGTTTATTCAACAAATCCTTAATATTTTTAAAGTAAACCTGATTATACGTATTTCTCTTTCTTTAGAGACCTCATTTATAAATATTGGTTCCGCGAGAGAGCCCCCACACTCATGTACACCGTTGACATCACAAAAGGGAGGATTGTGACGCACCATTTGGCGGCCATGTGCAGCAGCGGGCCGCCGAAGAGCGCGAGCGCGAGGCTCAGGCTGAGGAAGTGGATCCAGAGGTTCTTCTCCCTGCGGTACTTCTTGAAGCGCTCCTGCATCTGCTGGTCGGGGCGCGGCGGGCCCTTGGCCGAGGCCGCGCTCATCTACCGTGGATCCGTTAATTCGTATGAGCATTCGCCCCCCAAGGGAAGTGTACGCTTTGGTAACGAGCTCTAAGTTCCTGACTGGTCTCTCGACATGGGAGTGAAAGAGAATGTGAGGGTAAGTGAGGGGCGAGGATAGGGCAAGTAAGAGGAAGGAAAGATCGCGCGCGGTGCTTCGTCCATTTGTTAGGATTCCGCTTCGGGTTTTGGAAGACTCGGGTTATTGAAATGAAAGGAACATCAGTAAGGAATACTATCGCAGAAGAGATGTCACGATTCGGAGAGTCGCAAAAAGAGGTGAAAAAGTTGCGCCCAAGACGGCACAATGTTCCATAATGGATAATCCCCTATCGACCAGGTACGGATTTCCGGGAACACAAGTAAACTAGCGGTGCTATAGAATGGCACAACCTTTCCCGTGTTAGTTTTCCATTTTTATATGTCTCGCCTAGCTCTTCGAACTTGCCACATACTCTTGCCAACTGCCATCTATCGCCGCCCAAAGTACATTGTTTTGAAAACGTTTCTTACTTTTTTGGTTTCATAATAGTGGAACGAAAACATTACTTTCAGGATATTAAAGAACAGTAAATATCGTCCTAAATGGCAATTTATTTTGAAAAACTAAGAACCGTTTTTAAGACAATGGCATTTAAACGCTACTGTAAATTCGAAAGTAAAGACTCTTTTCCACAGAAAAATTCTGAGTTTTCGAAAAATTAGAAGTTATTTGACGCATTTAAACTCACAAATTCATTAATGTTACAAACTGCTGGAAATGTCCATATTACCTACGTGAGAGATTTAAAAAAAATTACATTTGTGTAATTTTTCAAAAAGCAAAATTTACCCCAAAATGAATTTTACGTCATATTCAAGACTGTTATTAGCACTGTTTGTTCCAAATGTTTGAAGAAAAAAATTATATCAGCAATAGCGTTTGAGCGTTTCTGAAAATGCGGAATTTTAAGCTAGTTTTTGCAGAAAATGGTTAAGTTGTCGAGAACCTTTATACGACATTATTTAAAGCAAATGTACTCATTATTAAAAGCATTATCTAACGCACAATACTTATTACACTATTTAAAGCACAATATAATAATGTGAAGATATCGCTAGTAATATAAATATTAACGACGTGAGAGAAGTAAAAAAATTAAATTTTTGTAATTTGTGAAAAAGCAATAGAATAGAGCAAACTTTTTAGTCATCTCATAGCCTATATTAAGCACTATCCCTACCAAAATTTAAAAATAAATTTTGAGCGGTTTTTGAGAAAATCTTGTTTTTGTAATTTTTTAAAATTGCAAATATTACACACAATATTCCGAGAAAACTACTAAATGTTTCAAAATAATGTGCATGGCATTAATGAAACAAATAGTTATGGGCAAATGGAAAATCATGACGGCGTGGCATGCTGTAGCTGATGGTATAACCCGTGACGTGTAGGTGAGGTGCAAGGGAGGCGGACCCTGTGCTGGTACCTTGCGCTTGAGGGGGTAGGGGACGGTGGCGTGGAGCGGCGGGGGCGTGCGGGAGACGGCGCGGGCGCGGCGGCTGGCGGGGGGCGGCGCGCCGGTGGTGAGGCCCTCGTCCACGCCGATGGCCGGGCAGGCGCCCTCCACCGCCCAGTCGCACGACGTCAGGTTGAAGGAGGTACGGAACGTCTCAGGGCTAATCACCTCCTCCTCCTCCTCGGGCACGATGCGGAACGTCTGCACCTGCAGGCAGTTTTCTTTCCATTTGCCCCATTCGGCGAGTTACTTGTTGACACGCACACATATTGCTCCACCGTTTCAGTCAAAGAATTAATGTTTGATGATCATAAAATTGTTGCGGAATACTCGTAACATGGGCTCTCCCCAACTAAACATCCGCGGATTAAAATACCTTTAAATAATATATACTTGTTATTTTCTAAAAAGCAGCGAAAAAATGACCATAAATGGGGTGTTGGTGAGGTTTGTTGCTCTCCTAAACACAATTTGAAAACGGTTTTATAGGTGCAGATATTGTTCTGGCTTCGAAAAGTTACTTATAAGCCATTGAATTATTTATTTTTTTTTTTTTTGATGCAGCCTAATATAAAGGATGTTTTGGGAAGATACGTCAAACTTCAAAAATTAAGCTCTTAAGACAATTTTAAGCATATTTGGTAATAAACTAGTTCGTATTCCGAATGGCTCAGCCGGAATAAGCTCTCAAAAGTTTAGTTTGAAAAAGTACTTTCTATGCCAAAATTTGCATTTCAGAAGCATGTAAACTGGCCACAAATATGTAAATTGTTTATTAATTGATTGAGTAATAGTGATTTCGGGCGCGTCAACAACTATGGTCTATTAGTCCCGTAAGTGCAGTTCACGTTTTTCCTCGTGAAGTGGCTGTGGTCATCCCGTGCTGGATGGTGACATCCGCCGTCGACCTATTGTCGGCTAAGAGGGTTTCCCAAGCAAGGTTTCTCCCACCAACGGGGCACCGCCGGGACAAGCTCTACGCTCCCGACCGTCTCCCGGCATGTGAGGTAGTGTAGTGCATGTGAATGCAGAGAAGGTAAGATCGTACGCAGTCCGTGGCCCATTTTTTAGGGTACTTGCTGGTGTTGACGGGAGGAACCACGTAAAACTACCGATCATAGCAGCCGGCCGCTAGAATTCTCCTGTGGATTCGACCTAGCTAGTACGTAAAATCCTGGCACCGTCGTCGGAGGGCGTGAACGGTGTTCAAGAGCGCGGGCGCGGGCGGGGGCGGGGGGCCGACCGTGAGGTGGTAGAGGCGCGCGTCGAGGGCGTGCAGTGCCCGTGTGGAACGGTGCTTTCCAGAGCGCGAGCGCAAGAGAGCAGCGGGCGGGCCGCCGTGAGTTGGTAGAGGCGCGCGTCGAGGGGCTGCAGTGCCCGTTGTGAACCGGTTTCCACGAAGCGCGAGCGCCAAGGAGAGAGCGGGGCCGCCGTGAGGTGGTAGAGGCGCGCGTCAGAGGCGTGCAGTTGCCCGTGTGAACGGGTTTCGAGAGCGCCGAGCCAAGGAGAGAGCGGGGGGCCGGACCGTGAGGTTCGTAGAGGCGCGCGTCGGGGCGTGCAGTGCCGTGTGAACGGTGTTCGGATGAGCGCGAAGCGCAAGAGGAGAGCGGGGGCCGGCCGTGAGGTGGTAGAGGCGCTCGTCGAGGGCGTGCAAGTCCCCGTGTGACGGTGTTTCGAGGAGCGCGAGCGCAAGATGAGAGCGGGGGGCCGCCGTTCGAGGTGGTAGAGGCGCGCGTCGAGGGCGTGCAGTGCCCGTGTTTTACGGTGTTCGAGAGCGCGAGGAGCAAGACGAGCGGGCAGGCCGACGTGAGTGGTAGGAGCGGCGCGTCGAGGCGTTTGCAGTGCCCGTCTGTGAACGGTGTTCGAGAGCGCGAGCGCAAGAGAGAGCGGGGGCCGGCTGTTATGTGTAGAGGCGCTTCGTCGAGGGCGTGCAGTGCCCTGTGAACGGTGTTCGAGACGCGAGCGCAGAGAAGCAGGGGGCTCGACCGGGAGGTGGTAGAGGCGCGCGTCGAGGGCGTGCCAGTGCCCGTGTGAAACGGTGTTCGACGAGCGCGAGCGCGAAGAGAGACGGGGTCCGACCGTGCCCGGTGGTAGAGGCGCGCGTCGCAGGCGTGCAGTGCCCCCCCCCCCCTCGTGAACGTGTTGTTCGAGAGCCGCGAGCGCAAGAGAGAGCGGGGTGCCGACCGTGAGGTGGTAAGGAGGCGCGCGTCGAGGCGGTGCAGTAGCCCGCTGTGAACGGATGTCAAGAGCGCGAGCGCAAGAGAAGCGGGGGGCCGCCTGAGGTGGTAGCAGGGCGCGCGTCGAGGGCGTGCAGTGGCCCGTGGAACGGTGTCGAGAGCGCGAGCGCAAGAGAGAGCGGGGGGCCGACCGTGAGGTGGTAGAGGCGCGCGTCGAGGGCGTGCGCGAGGCGCACGTGGTCCGTGAGCAGCACGCAGAAGGTGCGGTCGGCGCGGAAGGCGCGGCACGGGTGGCGCGGACGCACGAACGGCCGCTCGCTCGAGTACTGCACCGCCTTCGACACCACGTAGCGCCACCTGCAACGCGGCGCAACTGACACTCCATTCCCTTCCAAAGCAAACAAAACATGTCATCTCAACACAGCTCTCTAAAAAGTAACAATAATAACATAACGCCTTTTAAAATATTATAACTGGGACGCAATGGAAATGTTTGTTCGAAATTAATCATTCTAAAGAAAATACATTCTCACAAATTGAACATTTGATCATCGCCTCACTGTGTGCGATACATGAAATGTATTCAACTTATGTACGTAACTAGAGAGTCCTTACGTAATGTCCTTACGTATTCCACACTTTTCTTCTCGAATGTAATATATATATATATATATATATATATATATATATATATATATATATAATAATATGCCTATATATATAATGGGTGTGGGTGTAGTTGAAGTGTGTGTACGTACTTGCGTTCGCCGTGGCGCCTGTAGCCCACGCGGTATCCAACGAGGCTGCGCCGCGGCTCGCGCACCTGTGGGAAGGCCAGCTGCAGCCAGCCGTTGGCGCCCGTCACCTTGACGTCGCGCACCGGCGGCGGCAGCACTGCAACAGGCCGAGCCTCTGCCGGGGGCCCTGCGGTGCGACGCGGCGGGGCGTCTGCCTCTGCCTTGGCGGCGAGGGCGACCTGGAGGAGGCTTCTCTCATCGATACTCTTCACGACTTCTCCGACCAACACCAGGCGAAGGCCGGAGCAGAACCCTACCTCATGGGCCATGGACTGCGCGCGATTCTTCGTTCCCTTTCCTTGTCCTATCTTCATCCCTGACATACATTACACTATCACACATGTCGGCAGCTTAGATCTTGTCCCGTCTGGGGAGGTGCCCTGGGAGATACCTGGTTGGGCAAAAGCTCCGCAAGCTGAAAAATGCTCTACACTTACCGGACTGATAACTACAGCAGATGACGAGCTGGGAAACAAAAAATAATCAATCAATCGATCGATCGATCCTTCGCACGAGCAGGCAAGTCCGAAATGAGTTAGCCGGAACAAAGTATTTTCACAATGCTAATTATTGTCACAATATCAGCAAGACAATATGGCCAAACCAGAGGGCAATGGCACAAATGTTATAAATAAACGAGCATGTCGCTGTTAATAGTTTGGATTAATAATTTGGAGTTTTAGTAAATACGGGAAAATAAGTCTCAGCGGTTTATGAATTTTATGAGATTTTGCGAAAAGAAAATTAGAGTAAAATCTGTCTAAATCGGAAACTGTACAAAGCGAAAACCTACCTTAACCGGAAAATTTCTCTGGCTCGTGAAGTTATATGGCATTTTATACAGCATAAAACGAAACCTCTATAAAGGGAAAACGGAACGGTTTTGCATGTCCTGCAGGGGAACAAATCTTCATAAAGTAGTATTCCTTGGAGCGGAATTGGCAGAGGGAGGCGAGGCATTCTTAATGAAAAGAATTCATCTGCAAGTCTGCTTCAAATTATCTATCCCTGTTTTAAATTGTCTGTCCCACCAATTTAGTTGCGTCTGCCGCACGGGGAGAGGGCTTCATCATTCAGCGTAGAATTGGACTTGTGTCTGATGGCGCAGACTCTCAGGGCGTGCGAAAGTGTACGGGCATGGCCTCTATCTGTCTGACGGCGTTCAAATAACCCCTTTGCCAGAGGCACTCTGCTCAAGGCCATGGGAGGGTATCAGAAAGTCATAATCTGGGCTGGGACGGATTTTGTGCTGAAAAACAGCAAGCAGTTCGCCTGCAGCCAGTAAACCATGAGGTAGTGAATATGTTTTTAAAGTTCAGAACCTGTTTAACAACGGTTTTAAAAAACATAAAACTCTAATCTTAGATGAAAAGGTCAAACTTATGGAAGCAAGAGAAACTCAGAAGCTGTCAATGAAGGATGTTTAATATTTATTTATTGGTGATTTCCAACCATAAAAACGTTATGTGTTAATTATAGTTAAGTCACGTAATTTACTAGTTTCAGGTCGGAAATATTAATTTTACAAGTGTCATAAAATAGACAACCCCTTATAAAACGGAAACTTCCCTAAACCGGATTGTTTTTGTCCCGATCGATTGCGACTAAGATTTACTGTACCATATTTTATTTTTCGAAAACAGAATCGTATATTGTTCGAGTAAACCAGATATCTTCGACGTTCACAAAACAAGTTTTATTATAACTTACAATGAATGAAGAGAAATTGACACGTGATTAAGAAACTTGAACGAAATTTCTTATTGCAAATAGATTTTTTACGCAACTATCTGACATTTAGCATTTAGAAATAATATTGTTCAAGGGTATTTGCACACCAACATTCAAATGTTTAGTGAAAAGAATTTTCCAGAAGGACATTAATCAAGCTTAAGTGCAGTACCGTAGAAAATTTTGGGAGATGAGTAATATTAAAAATAAAATAAAAGTCACCTCATTAGACAGAGGAAAAGGAAGTTAAAAAAGTTATTATTCATTTAAAAAGTTGATTTTGCGGAATATGGGGAACCTATTTAGAACTGAGAGACGATACGCCATGAAAACCACATCTGATTCCACAATATTATAAAAGAGAAGCTAATGGTGTTATTATAATAGTATTCGATTGAATATTATATATAATAGGTTCGATTGATTGATCAGTGATTCAGGACGCAACTGCTAATGTCATTAGTCCCGTAAATGTAGATCATGTGTTTTTCGCGGGAGGAGGTGGTGCTCGTCCCCCACTGGATTGTGAGATTCAGCGCCAACATACTTCGGTTTGCAAGGATATTTCCCAGTCAGATATCTCCACCAGCGGTGCACCGCCCCACCCGGAACAAGCTCCTAACTGTCAAGCTCCTAAGTGTAAGCTCCTAACTGGCCTCCCGGTATATGTAGTGCATGTGTGCAGCAGGTCGCTGGAATTCCCCTTCGAATTAAAAGAGGTCGCCATTATCGTGTTATCTGTGCCGCGCGCCTTTGAGTAACAATAGGTAACAAAAGCCAACAATGACCGCTCATCTATTCGTTTTCACATTTAACACAAAGAACGTAATTTAAAATGAAATAAAATAAATATAATAGATAAGAATCAAATGAAATATGAAAAAATATACACATTCTAACTTACGTAGCATCCAACTGCGTAAATTGGGAACGGTCGACAAAAGCCTACTTTTATTTCATATTTATTTCAAATAGGTTTTAAATAATTTCTAAAAGTTTAATTTGTCAAAGTATAATAAAAGCTCCATTGTAAGAAACGGACAAAGAAATGTAAAACACTATACACATGCTAACATAGCATTCCTTAAAACATCTAAAATTATGATCAAGAAGCGCAGGATTTTTAGAGCATGCGACCACCTTTGACGCCTAATTTCTCCAAAAATTCCCATAGTTTCGAAAAATTCAACATGACCTTATTTGAAGATCTGTTTTGAAGAACACATTTCAATAAGAAAAAAAAGTATCTTCATAATTGTAGAAAGTTGTAGGAAGACGTCGAAATATTTTTTATTGTTTCAATTTTCGAAAAATTCAGTTTTTTCAACCAATATGAGAACTGCATAATTTTTTGAATATCCTTTATACTGGCCACCAACAAACCTTCATCAAAAACAATTGATCCGTTTTTGAGAAAAATGTTTAAAGAAAAATTAAAAATTGCCTATAATTTACACATTACGCGAAATATACTCAAATTTTCAAAAAATGTTCATGACTTTATTTCAAAATCTATCTTGAAGGAATGCATTTCATCAAGGGAAAAATATCAATCTTTAATATTTTAGTTGTAGGAAGACGCCGAAAAAAATTTTGAATATTTTCAATTTTTGAAAAATTAGAGTTTTCAAGAATGAGACCTGCGCCATTCTCTTAAACGTTGTTTAGACTATCCAACAACAAAATTTATTTAAAATCGATGGCGCCATTTTTTTAAAATTTTGTAATAATTTTCATCTAAAGTACCCCCAAAATTAACATATCGTTTTCAAATTCAAAGGGCCTCGAGATCAGCTAGATTAATCGGGGAATATCAATTGTGGAAAACTTCGGATGAATAGATTATCCGTTAGCGTTGTTCACAGACAGACTGACCGACAGATGTATTTCCATCAATCAATTTGTTGGTATCAAGAAACCACAAACAGGGATTCTGGCAGCATTACGTGTTAGAGGATTTATTTCATTTACCACATATACCATATGCGTTTTTTCTAAATTTGTCAACTGGATTTATCCACTTTTTCGTTAATAATAAGAGTTTTTCTGTCGAATACTCGCCGTTTTCCGCGCAGCATTACATAACTTTCTCTTCTGAGGAAGTTCCTTCTTAAGCACGAGAAAGTAAAACTCGAATAATATTAATATATTATTTTTCATATCCTTTTGATCCATTTCAGTTCTTCAAGGAAATTTCTCGTGGCTCATTATTGGTATATATATATATATATATATATATATATATATATATATATATATATATATATATATATAGAGAGAGAGAGAGAGAGAGAGAGAGAGAGAGAGAGAGAGAGAGAGAGAGAGAGAGAACGGAAAAGGAAAGAAATATTGAGCGCTGCGTGGCCCGTTTGGTACGAGTACTTTTCTGGCATTCACCTAGCATTGATAGGAAAAACCACGAAAAACTACCAATCAGAGCATCCAGCCGCTAGCATTCTCCTCCTGACTGTGACTGAAATCGATCTAGCTATGTAACTAGCATCGAGTCCTCCCGGTTAGAGGCACGAGCTACTTTTGCAGGTCCGGGATCGAACTCTGGAACCTCCCGATCAGAAGCACTTGAGAGGTTCAGCGACTCTCTTTACTACACGAGTTGATGCCTTGAGACAACTTTGCTACTCGGGGCTCGAACCCTAAGACCTCTCTGTCGAAGGCACTGCCGCGACAACATGTGATGCCCTGAGCCTCTATGTGAAAGCAGATCTTGTGCAGAGCTGCTCTCTACCTGGCAGGGAGGTGGCGGTGTCCGAAAACAGCAGCTTCCCCGTGATGGCGTCGAGGGTGTGCAGGGTGTGCTCCTTGCCGGGTTCGAAAGGGTGCACCCAGTGCCAGAACTGTTTTTCACTCGGCGAGCAGAACTTCAACTCCGTAAATGTCTCGTTAATCTACAAAGCAAACAAGAAGGGCTGAACCATTTTGAAAACAAGTAGTGCTGTAGCTGAGCATAATTTCTAATGGCTTCACAATATTGAATTACAACATGAACCTGAACTAGTGGTGGAATAAAATGGCACAGACTTTCTCGCACAAGTTAGTTTTCTATTTTATTTGGTCTGGGACAGCATTTCGGTCTTGTATCAGCCTTTTGTCAGCTCCCATTCAAATGCTTGGTAAACTTTTGGAAAAAAAGAATAGAGTAAAATGGCTTTTATGTCATATTGTACAGTACATTGAGCACTATTCTGACCAAAAGTTTAAAGGAAAAAGTTGCTGCCGTTTTGGGAACTTTTGTTTTTAATATTTTAATATAACTCATATTTTACACAAAATTGCGTGAAAACTACTAAAACTTACAAGAAATTGTAACGAATTTAAATTAATAATAAAAATAATAATGAAGAAAAAATTTAATTTAAGGAAAAATCTGTATCTTCAATTATGTAGTTCGTAGAAAAACGCCGAACAAGTTTTGAACTTTTGCAATTTACGAAAATTCAGAGATAACAGTGAAAATCGGGCCGATGCCATCTCCGTAAGTGTATTTTACTCTATTCTTACAGATATTTAAGGAAAACAATTGGAGCCATTCTTTGGAAACTTTTTGTAAGTAATCCAATGGCGTTATGTAGAGTACCCCGAAACATTAATGTATGTTATTACAAAACTCACAGCTTCGAGTGAGGCTAGATATACCAAGGATTATTCAATTGTGAAATCATCCTAAGCATAGTTAAGTTGCTAGTGTTGTTCACAGACTACAGACAGGTGGACGGTCGGACGATTTGAGAAAAAAACAGCAAAAGACAACACTTTTTCAGTATCAAGGACTATGTGGATAATTGTGAAATATGTGTGTACGAGGGAGTGTTTTAACGTGTGGGAGGGAGTCATTTACTTCATTTAGAATAGGATTTATTCACTCTCTTTGCATCTGGACTCCACAATACTGTCGAACTATCACCGTTTCTGCCGCAGCAGCACGTAACGTATACATAGTAAACGTAGAATAGAGAAAGTAAAGATACTCCCTATACGTATGCATATGAGAAAGCAAACTAGTGGTGCTCAAACAGCACGTACTTTCCTGCCTTTAGTAATGGTTATGGAATGCTATTTATACCACGATTACTCTCCGAATAAACTCATCTCAGTCATCATTTTTTGTAAAACTCATTACAAATCGTAGATAATTTTGTGCGAAATCTGCGATATTTGCAAGCAAATATCAATACAAATTTGACAAATATAACTGATTTTATACAGTTAAATCATGTCCCAACAATGAGACGTAATTCACAGAAATTTAGCAACCACGTCGTTGCGCGGCTAGCAATTTTTATTTCATATTTATTTCCAATATATTATAAATAATTTCTAAAAGATTAATTTGTAAACGTTTAACAAAAGCTGTAATGAAAGAAACGAACAAAGGTGTATGAAATACTATACACATTCGAATATACGTAGCATCCAACTGTCTGGATTCACTTCCCATAATAAAGATTAATATTATGTTCACGAAGCGCAGAATATTAGGAGCGGGTGACTATGTTTGACGCCAAATTGCTTTGAAACATTTTCATATTTCGGAAACATTACACAAGACCTTATACAAGATCTGATTTGATGAAGAAAACTAGTGGTGCTAAATCAGCACCACCAATAGTAATGGTTATGTAATACTATTTATAAAACAATTTCCCTCCGAATAAACACATCTCAGACATTATTCTTTGTAAAACTCATTTGAAATCGTAGAACATTTGGTGCGAAAACTAAGCAGTATGTGAGAAAGTAAAACAACTAAACGTTAATGAATAATACAATACTGTATGCGTTGGCAAACAAATGCCATTCGTAATATGTTTTACTTACGATTGTGCAACTCGGAAATACGTAATAATCATCCTTATTTTACTACAACTAAACCAATACTTATTTCGTGCATAAACCATGTATGCATTCATACCTTTTTACAACAATATCAAGCACTTTCATCAGCAAAATTACTTTTTTCCAAAAATTTCACATTTAATACATTCACACCTAGACGCAATTAAAACCATCTAGCCTTACATGACAATTACCCATCATGGATGCTATCATTGTTATTATGAGAAGCACGTTCAAATCTAACCCGCGATAACAACCTGCCATCAATCAGTCGAGAGGGGTTCGTGACCCTCACAACCCGGAGATGACCCTTCCTGATGCAATGCAAGGGAGAGGGCGTGATTGTGAAAACGACAGAGCAGATACGGAGTGACATCTGCCTCCAAAGCCCGCTATATAAGCCGGCTGAAGCCCCAGGCAATGTATCCAAAAATGGGTGCGCAGCCGGTTCTTCTTCTTTCTGACAAATGTCGCTGTCGACGTCTCTCGCTCTACAAGCCGAGGTGCTCAGCAGGGAAGGAGCTCACACTATCCCTGTCGTACTCCACGAACGCCACAGGGCATCGCGCCGTGAGCGCCAACATTGACAGCCGCTGGGGAGTTCCGGGTGGCTGCTGGATGTGGAAGTGAGGACATCAGGGTGCGGGCCCGACGACGTCCCACGGCGGTCGCTGTCCTTCACGCTCAACGGGCCCCCGGAGGAGGTCTTTGGGCCCCCTCGCAGCGCCCTCCGTGCCCACTACGCCCTCCCCCCTCCACCCCCTCCACCCCCTCCACGCCCTCCACGCCCTCCACGCCCCCACGCCCTTGCCGCCTCTCCCTCCACGCCTCGGCCCGCGCCCCCGGGCTACCTCACGCTGCCCGGCCTGGGCCACTACCGCGCGCCGCCCCGAGGCCAAGGACTGGCTTGCAGGCGCCGACTTCTGCCGGAAGGAGGGCGGGGGACTGGTGGCGCCGTCCTCCCGGCGCGAGGTGGAGCTGCTGTTCCAACACTTCTCTCCAAACGTCACCGGCACCACCGGAGAAATTGGTTTTTGGCACAGCGCCAACGACATTAAGCAGGAAGGCAAGTTCGTCACAGTGGACGGGGTGCCCCTGGAGGACACAGGCTTTGCACTGTTCAAACAAGGAAGCCCCTGGAATTCCACAGAGTACAATTGCCTCGTGATTGTCATGTCGCAATTACTAGACGATTTACGTTGTTCACGAAAACGATCATTTATCTGTAAAATACCTCTATGAACCCTATTTAAATATTCTTCTTCACAAGAGTCGTATGAAAACTTGTCTCGTGTACAACCACTCAGGATATATACTATTGTTTTACATGAACTATTTTAGTTTTCTTGTATACATTATAAGTTTGTTAAATTCCTCTAGAATTAACATTCTAAAAATAGGAAAATTACACGAAGGAAATGTAAATAATATATTATGGTAAGGAATAAATAAAGAATATAAAATCAGTGTACAAAAATCTGATCCTTCTTGAATGCACATTCTGATCATACCTTCTTCCCGCGTGAGAAATTTGACTTGGAATAAGCATACTTCCTATTCTTACTAACAACGTATATATATTATTATATATTATGTAAGGTATATATTGCCATTCTATTACGTATAGGTTCTTCACGCAAGGGGATGGTCCAAAAGCATTTCTGACAATCACCGTCTTCTTAAGTCGATTTTATTTAATGAACTATAAAACATGATGTATCGGTGGGTTATTTTATATTTTATCAGACAGTGTAAAATACATACATCAAGAATTAACATATTATACAAACAGCATTTTTCTACTATAAGTTATTGTCATAAGTTATTTCTAAAATACCATATACAAACTATTCACATTTTTAGCCTTACAGAAGAAAGGAAATTCGAGTTGTCATATTCTGCTATTAGTGTAGATATCGTTACAGATTTCTTTATTCAGTCATGAGTAGATCGTCATCTACGAAGACAAAAATTAAAATAAAATAATCTCTGTGAATGTTAAAATATATTAAAATTATATACCTTTAGCATCAGGTATTAGAACTATCTAATGAATACAATTCATTAAAATTATTAACCAATGTCTATATCACTTTTCATTTTTTTAAACTGATAACATAAACTGATAACTGATAACACGACACAAGAACATGAATGCGAGTGCGAATGATAATTCCACTAACCTTTGTTCTTCCCAAATTGTTCTTCGAGGGCGAATTTGGAGCGGGACTTGTTTGTAACGTGGCAGTATCTATGACACTTTTCAAAGGAAGGGGAGCGGTAAGAGGCTAGATGGGGGTGAGAGGTAGCAGTGACGTTGACTACAACATTACGCAGTCTTGCGTAGTAGTTTGGCTCCTGCTTGATTATTACTGGGTTCTTGAAATTTACTAGGTGCAGTTTCTCGATATGATGTTTTGTAGAGCGAGTTTTGTCGGAAGAAAGGCTGATTTATATTATTGATGTGTTCACGTATTCTATATAGATTATTTTATTTTAATTTTAGTCTTCGTAGATAATCAACTCATGATCAGAGACCGGAAAAATATGTAGAATGAAATGTCAAAATATGTACATAAATATGAAATGAAAACAGTAAGAATATGTAATAAATATGCAAAATCGGATATAATATGTCATATTAAAATACACCTACCATAAAAAACATTTACATAATAAGAAATTAAACTCCTAAAAATTCCTATACAATTCTTTTAAAATAAGACAAATGTGTTGAACGTCATTTGAAAAGCACACGTTTGTTCACAGTTTGCACCAAACATATTTCCCGTCACTGGTAAACGTTTCACCTATTGCTAAAAGTTATACATAACCGTAGTTTAGAAGCTAGTAGAAAAAATATTCTTTGAAATTTAGGGGTTCTTTGTATGAAGCCCCCGGACATATTCAAAGTTTTCTCTAAAACAGCTCCAAACTTTTTTAATTTCAAAGAATGATTTTTTTAAATCTCAAAGCTTTGACGAGACACAGATCGATTGGAAAATATCCATTTTGAAGAAAAAAAAACTACGTATGGTTTAGGCGCTAGTAGAGTTCCGACAGTAAGTGGCCCGACAATAAGATTTTTTCTGTCGAAAATTTTTCGTTTTACGGCGCACGAGAACAATACTTTCCCTTCTTACGAAATAGGATGAGAAAGTAAAAAGAACGTTTTCTCCAAAAAATCTGCAATGTTTTCTTTATTTTTTCCCGGATAAAACAAAGGTTGCTTAAGAATGGTGTACATCTCATTTTCGTTTATGTATCTGAATTTTCAAAAATTGGTTTTTTGTAATATGAGGTTGAGACAATGAAATGTTTAGCGTCAGCCCGAGTTTGAACGTTAGTGAAAGTCCCTGGCAAAGAGGTAAGGAGTACGACTGGTAGTGTTGGTAAATCTGAGTTCGAGTCTCGGCGTGGAGAAGAAAATTGCTGGTTGACAACACAGGTTAAAAAATTTGCATGTTCTTGTAGTAATAGCGGACCTGTTAGATATAGAGCGAGAAAATATGTGCCGTCTGTAGCACTAGCTTAGTATTAACGATCCATTAAACGTGGATTCTGGTAAACAATGCTTTAGAGGAAGTAATTTACTAAGATAATTATGCTCTTCTCCTTCACCGGGGCTCGACATACGAATTTGTGGGCCTAAAATCGCCGTTTATGCTGCAATACAACACTTTCTTTTCCTACGTTCGTAGTGAGGCGAGGAAGTAAGGTAATCGGTAAGGTATTCATCTATGTTTATAGATGAATACTTTACCGATTAATGCCATTGTTATATGAAGTTGCGTTGACTAATCGTTCTGAATTGTTTTCCAAATCGGAAATATATTATCGATTAATTTTTCGAATAATTTAAATATTGAAAAAAAATAAAAATTCGATACTTCGATAAAATAAAAGTTGAGTTGTAGAAAAATGTGGACCAATTTATTGGTAATTTTGAAGACAATAATAGTACACTCACGAGTCAAAAGTGCATAGTCAAATTGAAAATGAATTTTTTTGGGAATTGTTTGAAAACAAATAATTATTTTGAAAAGTTTAGAAACATGATATTGTTATTAGAGGTATGTGTGTTCTCAGATACTAACAGCCTTGTCAGATTATGGTTCTTACATCGCGTCCCAGCTTGATGGCCATGGGCTCGGGAGAACTGGGGTAAGTAGGTCCCCACCCCTTACGCCGCTTATTGGAGTTCTCTTCAAAAGTCCCCTGTATTTGTATAAAATTATGTATCTAAGGTTATAAAATATACTAGGTAATCTATTGTTAATTTTCGCACTAAAGGAAAAGTAGTAGAATAGTTACATGAGAAAAGTACAACATAAGCGAAAACTTAAAATAAATTGTTTCATGTCGTTCAGTTCTTATACTCAGAGCTTGGCGAACTGGAGCAATGCGACGGGTCGCAGTTGAGTGGGCGAGCGGTGCGGATGTAGCAGCGGTCGCTCCGTGAAAGAGAGCTGAATGTGGCGAGGAACACTGGCAGTTGAGAAAAAAGAAGTGGGAGGACAGTTTTGTGGAACTCGAAGAAAGTACAATAAATTGGCAGTCGTATGGTAAGCATTGAGTGTCTGGAACAGCGAGTGTGTGGCGGCAGCGCTGGACACAGCAGGTGCCGGAGGCGCGGGGGGCGGGCGGCGCGAGGTGACCGACTGCTGGCGGACGTGACGGTGCACAAGCGCGCCGGGGCGGGGGCGGGGGTGAGCGGAGTGGACAGTGCAGAGCTGACCGGCCTTAGCAGGTGGATTATATGGGAAGTACGTAAGAGAATGGAGGGAATTACACGCATATGCAATTGGAGCGGTGTAAGAAAGAAATAATTACGGAGGGAATCTATTGTAGGAAATTTCTTAAATTCTTTCCTAGTATCTGCATTAACAAACATAAAGTGTTCAATAATAGAGATGAACTCTTGGGATTGTGATGGGGATAAAGAAAAGTATTATAGGAAAGTCGAATGATGTTAGACATAAGAATGATGAAGGAGGAAATTCAAGTGAAATAGGATAGGACGTTAGAAAGCAAATTAAAATTTAAAATATAAGATATTATTGAAACTAAATACAAACAGCAAAGAATAGATAAATTGAAAGAAATTGTTAAAAAGGTAGTTTGAGTGAGTGAAAATGAACCCAGCGTAATGGCATTCACCGAGATACAAGTAACCGAAGATATAGAGGATTGGGAAATTGGAATACAAGACTGTAGGTGTATTACATGTAATTCGCAGAATCGAAGAACGGGGAGAGTAATAATATTCGTGAGAACAGATATTAAAATAGAAAATGTTAAAATAGACTTTTGTAAGAAAGTAACTTTTGGATACTTAAGTTAGATATTTCTTGTAAAGAATACAGAGGATCGGTAGTTGCTGTCTCTCACTCTCCAAATGCATCTGATAGCAAATTTGTTAACTATTTTACAAATATAGTGGAATAAATAAAGATAATGGTTGCATAATAATCATTTTAATATCAATGAAATGAGAGTAAGTTATGCCATGAAGAAGTTATTAAGTAGTTGTTTTTATATATAAACGACGTTTTCTGTTGCAAGAAACCGTTCATGAAAGGTTTTACGGCACAAATGATGACGTATTAGATTTTACGGCACGAATTATAGAGTCATTACACATTCAGACAATCGCAGCGAGAGAATCGCAGGGAGGTTCCAGAAAACGAAACATCCGACGGCGGTTTTTTCGCACGGATGTCAATTGCACGTGACGTCACAAGGACATTTTTTCGCAAAATTAAATTTGATTATCTTATAAATGTATATTGCTGTTATACAAAAAATAGCGTATGCAACTCGTTTACAATGTTGCTTTATTCAATTAATTGGCCTTAATTGGCCAAAGTGAATCATTTCATTATCCTTATCCATTCATGACATACTCATCAAAGATGGCTTTGCTAATAGAAAGCTAGGAGAAAACGACATAAATAATACTCTGAAGAGCCAAAACACTGGTTCACCTGCCTCATATCATGTAGTGTCCCACGACGGGGAATGCACTCGACCAATATCTGAAGTAGAGCTGGAGGTACTTGTCACCATGGATCCTTCGGGACGGTCCATAAACTCGTAAGAGTATGAGGAGGAAGAGCACGTTGCAAGGCATCCATGATATGCTCACTAATGATCATATCTGGGGATTTTGGTGTCCAGTAGAAGTGTTTAAATTCAGAAGAGTGTTCCCGGAGCCACTCTGTAGCAGTTCTGGACTGTGAGTTTCCTCATTGTCCTGCTGGAATTGCCCAAGTCCATCAGGATGCACAACGGACGTGAATGGATGCAGGTGATCAGTCAGGATGCATACGTATTTGTCAGCAGTCAGAGTCGTTTCTAGACGTATCAGGGGTCCCATATCACTTCAACTGCATGCGCCCCATACTGCTTACGCATCATACTTCCAGGGCTTCTGCCAACTTGAACAGTCCCCTGTTGACATGCAGGGTCCATGGATTCATGGGGTGGTCGATCCTACACTCGTACACATCCGCTCGAAAAAAACGAGACTTGTCAGACCAGGCAACGTGTCATCAACAAGTCATCAAGAGTCGTAAGTCGGTGTTGACGAGCCCAGGCGAGGCGTAAATTCGTAAGTGTAAGACGTCGTGCAGTCATCAAGGGTACACGAGAGGGTGTTCGGATATGAAACCCCATATCGATAATGTCTCGTTGAATGGTTTGCACGATGATACTTGTTTATGGCCCAGCATTGAAATCTACAGCAATTTACGAAAGGGTTGCACTTCTGTCACGTGTAATAATTCTACTCAGTCGTCGTCGGTCCCGTTCTTGCACGATCTTTTTGCTGCCACAGCGATGTTGGAGGTTTGGTGTTAACCGGATCCCAATATTCACGGTACACTCGTGAAGTGGTCGTGCGGAAAAATCCAAATTTCATGGTTACCTCGCAGATGTTATTCCCCACTATTCTATGCGCCGATAATTCCACCACGTTCAAACTCACTTAAATCGTTGTAACCTGCCATTGTAGCGGCAGTAACCGATCTAAAATCTGTACCAGACTCTGGTTGTCTTATACAGTCGTTGCCGACCGGAGCGCCTTATTCTGATTGGTTCCAGACCTCTTTATTTCAATACGAATGGCTTTAGCAGGTTTTTGCTCTTCAGTGTTTATTATATATGTTTAATATACAAATGTTTCAGTAACACAAAATATTATATTTTCACATTTTTAAATACTTTCTACTCAACCAAATGAGGTGATTATTTACATTTCCTCTCTAAAATTTAGCGAAGGGAAGAAAAATATTTGAACCACCTCAACAATATGATGTCGATTATCATTCGTAAAATTCGTAATTAAGTGTTTTAGCTGAAGCTTGCCACACACGTCAGATTTAAGGTCTATTAATTTTGTTCTAGAGATGGTTAACATCGGTGAATGTGAAGAGGTGATGCTTGCAATTTTATATGCGGATTTATTTATGGATAGTTTGCAAAATTTGTAACATAAACAACAAGGCTGTATCGCATATGTCACACACTAAATTATTCTTAACACTACTGATCACCGAGTGAAATGTGAGCGACACTACTTCTACAGGGTGTAGTTGAATAATGGATAGGAGCACAATTAAGGGGAAGTGCCATAACCCGCGCGAAATGATGCCCATGCGCGGAAAGAACTGCGATGGGTGTCAGTCATGTATGACGCAGCCTTGTCGTTTAAAGGTTACGTTCGTCCAATGTAATCGCAAAGGTTGAGCTAGTATAATTAAGATAACTCATTTAGATTACTTTTATTGCGAAATATTGTTATATAAACGGCAGCAGGAAATAGTGGAGTGCCTTCGCTGTCAGATTTAATAAAAGTTCTGAATAGCTTGAGTGTACCAAGAAGAGCAGAATTCCTCAAAATCTAATAGTATTGCAACAAACATTTTTCATAAATATTTGCAATCTCAAAACCCCTAAAATAACATGTAATTTATTTACTTATCAACTAAATCGTAATGAAAGGAAAAAACAGATATAACTAATATAAAACTTTTCATTCTTTCACATGACGTTTTGGAAGATTTCCAATCTTTTTCTTTCAGGGACCCCTCGCAAACAATGCTTACTTCACAGATTCCTTAAATATTTTTCTTAACAATATGCAGCATAAATCACCTTAAAAGAAAAATAAATTTCACACAATCACCTTCGTACATCAACATTTTCGTAATTATCTTGATTTTCTTTAATCTCAGAAAATTCCGTTTCTGGGATGCTGAGTTTCTAACCATCACAGATGGTTACAAAATGTTAAGCAATTTTAATCTTATGGCCATTACAAGTCTCTAATGTGCATTGCGGAGAGTGATTTTTTGCACAATTGAGTAACGTTGTGAATATACAGTTATCATTTGTTGTGTTTTCTAAACATCGTTCCTAAGTAAGAACATTGGTTACGAAATAATAGTAAATTTTTAATTTAATATTTTGCTATTTTTATGATATTTTATTATTATGTATGTATTTTGGTTCATATCAGAAAGCAATTAATTATCATAAAAATACTTATAAATAGTTCATTAATATGTATTTTTTGTAATCAATGGAATCTTGATCTTGACTATATTCATAATTACCTTATTCAAATTCGGCTATTGAACCCTATCCGATCCTTGATGATCATTGATTCCCATTTAATTTCTACAATCCCCAAGGGATTTGATCGTGATCCCATTGGGATCTCCTCCTCTCATCACTGTTACCTACCTTCATTACATTTTTCGCCATGAGACAGTTATTATTTTTGAACAACGTATACGATATGTTCGGCAACAATCCTTCTAAATACTTCCACATATTCAACACTAGTAGATAGGAAATAAATAATTACCTCTTCCTGAAATGTAAGTAAGCTGCAGTCGGTCACGTTGTTCACAATCACGAGCATGTACTCATCTTGAGCCACAAAAATATGTCCCTTATCTGTGAACAATTTTTTAAGCCAAACTGAAACATAACACAAACAGAAACTAGTGCTATTAGAATTTTGTATAGGAACAGAAAAAATTCAATTAAAGGTTTATGTGTATTGCTTATTTCTTATTTATTCCCTTTTTCTCAATTTCAACGAAGATTTTATTGGTAATTATATTTAACAAAGAAATTCAATTCGCAAATTCTGTTAAACATTTTCTGGTACAGAACAGTTTCGGCACGAGCAGAAGCTAAATTTAATT